ATAATCACAGAACATTAAAAAGGAAGATAAAAATATAAAATCCCTCAGTTGTATGCACAGCTAAACAGCACCGTTTTTAACCTGGTTTTAAACATTGTCAGAGAGACAATGTGAGACAGGCCTCCTGCCTGTCTGCCTGCATGAATCTGAAAAGCAGCCTTCCCATGTTTAGTTCTGACTCTGGGCACTAACAGGAGTCCAGTCCCTGTGCTCCTCAGAGTCCCAGCAGGAGTCCAGTCCCTGTGCTCCTCAGAGTCCGGGCTGGTTCATATGGGACTAACATGTCACTAATATATTTTGGTGCGAGGCCATGGAGAGACTTGTAACAAGCAGAGCTGTTTTAAAGTCTATTCTCTGAGCCACAGGAAGCCAGTGCAGAGACCTGAAGACCGGACTAATGTGTTCAGGGTGGGGCTGATCTCAGAGCGAAGGTGGATGAGGATGAGCTGCCCTAAGGTCTTCATCAGGTTGAAGGTCAATGCGGTTCCCAAAAGGGGATTTTCCACAGAACAGGGCCCTTCACCAGGCTGAGGCATATGTGTTGTCTTGAGGAATGTCTTCATACTAAAACTCCGTGAGCAGTCAATTTGACAGCTTTTAGTTTTGGAAGAGAAATTACTCTAGACTGGTCTTCAGAACTTTGTGTCTTTTTCTGTTTCTATAAAGATTCTTTCAAGATAAGATAAGATAAGAAGATAAGAATTCCTTTATACGTCCCACAGTGGGAACATTTTGATGTTGCATCGCATATATAGGACAGTAGTAAGAGCACACAGGGATCACACACAATATATACACTATATACAAATAAGTAGCTATGTTTCTTAACTAACTAGCTGTAGATGCTGAAAATCCTTCAATACTAGTCAAAACATATATATGTAGTAGTGCAGTTATACACTGTACAGTTAAATAGTGCAGGATAAAAAGTATATAAGTAAAGTGACATGAGGTAAAGTGACATTGTTCTGTGACATTCTGAAGTTGCACATTGCACATGATTTAAGAATTTACTTAATTACAGATGAATGAAATTTACAGGCTCAGCAGTTCGTATTGTACAGTCTGACAGCAGCAGGAAGGAAAGACCTACGGAACCTCTCCTTCACACAGCGAGGGTGAATTAGTCTGTCACTGAAGCTGCTCTCCAGAGCAGAGAGAGTGTCCTGCAGGAGGTGACAGTCATGGTCCAGCATAGATGTTAGTTTGTCCAGGACCCTCCTGTCCCCCACCTGCTGCACTGTGTCCAGGGAACAGCCCAGGACTGAGCTGGACTTCCTGATGACCTTGTCCAGCTTCTTCTTGTCCCTCTCTGTGGTGCTGCTGCTCCAGCAGATCACACCGTACAAGATGGCTGATGCCACCACAGAGTCATAGAAGGTCTTCAGGAGTGGCCCCCGCACTCCAAAAGACCTAAGCCTCCTCAGTAGGTAGAGGCGACTCTGGCCCTTCTTGAAGCGGGCGTCTGTGTTATGAGTCCAGTCCAGTAGTTCAATGTCCTTGTTTTTGAAATGCGAGTATAGTTTTACCATGTATTCCTACAAAAAAAGAGGCAGTACTAGATAACATAGCAACTGTACTGTAACAATTATCATATGACCTTTGTTGTATTGTTGGAAATCAGCCAAAGTCTGGGATCATGTCTTTAATTCAGACAGAAGACATGTTTTATTGATGGTAGAGCCAGCACAAACTCAAGCACACGAACAAGGATGTAAGAAAATGCAAGTGTGTTGAATGAACACCGTCCAATCAGCTTTCGCCGCGATGCCTGTAGCTTCAACCTTGAGATACCAAAACATCAAGTGGAAAAGTACTGTGACTGTCTCGTGCATATTAGAATGATGAGTTTAAGTTTAACTACAGTTGTTATGAAATCTCTACAGTATTTCCAATTATGTTCACCAGCACTTATAGTGTAGTAATAACGGCTTATTAACCGAGCAAGCAAGGTTAATAAATGTTTTATTATATGACTCTCCTCTGTGTCTTTACCAATGCTTTTTAGATATTTGTGAAGTATGTTCACGTCCGACTTGGTTTTCCTTATTGTGTTTCTGGTCTGCAACAAAGTTGTCAATCTCTTCTTGACTGTTAGTTATTTTTTTGTCGTTATTTTCTGTAATTACTTCCTCTGGTTCTTCAAACTCGTCCGGATAATAGAATTCACTTGGAGAATGCTCCCAGTCGTCGCCCATTATTTCTTTTTTTTACTGAGGAAAGATATCAAATGTGATGCGCTGCGGACCAATTTTCATGGTAACGGTCCCCTCGGACCGCAGCGCGCGGGGTGGGTGATAAATTTGGATGAGGTCCGAGATGTAAGGAGGGGCCAGTCCGTTCAAAGTTTTAAAAACAAACAATAAAATCTTAAAATCAATTCTAAAATTAACAGGAAGCTAGTGCAAAGAAGCTGTTAAAATCCGTGCCGCGGAGTTCTGGACTAACTGTAAGCGGGAAAGTTATAATAAATGTAAAGTTATAATAAATGTAAATACCTTATAATAAATCTATTGAAAAACAATTTGCTTAAAATATGTTGGTGGAATTTCTTATAATTCCATTGGTTGGAATGGAGCCAAAATGACGGCTATGGTAGTTTTTGTAGTTGTAGAATGAACAACAGTCAAGTTTTATTTTGTTCATCCTTTGAACCCGAAATCAAGATTTATATCATTCATAATTCTCTTGCCTGTAGAATCGTGAGCCCAGTGCGTGTTTAGCTGTCTGTACCATTAGTACGCGAATGCATGCGCGTGCGTTTTGAAATGTGTGCGTGTATGCATTTATGAGCGCATGCATGTTAGTCACCACGCAGTGCACGGTGTCATTTCAGACTTTGGTAAATCTCAGAAAACACCATGTATATAATAAAACAATGCATGCATCTAAGAAATCACTGTTAATAAATGTGCCTGAATATTTTGGCGTATAACCCGGTCCTTCCCGTGGAACATAATCAACAGGAAACTATCCAGGTGTACCCGGAAGTATGAGCTCCGTAATTTTTCTCAGCTGAAGATACGTCCCACGCACGCGGTAAGCACGATGTATTTTCATATCCAGAGTTAAATGTTACTGTAAAATCGGAATACGCTTTTCCACCATGCTTTTATGTTGTTAGACATAGATATCGTGTCGGAGTTGCTGACAAAATTCGCAGGTGAAATCAGAGGTTCCCCGCAATTAGCATACCAGCATTGGGCATGCTAATTGTATGCTAAACAGACAGAACGCGGAACCCTGAAACCGTATAAGGGCTGTAGGATGGATCAATAGAATACACATATAGATAAGGTTTGCTGGGAGTTTCATGGATTCATGTGTTTGTGAGCTTTGATGCCTAACTTTTAATGATTCACATATGACCTTTTTATTATGTTTTCAGAGTCAACATGTCAACGGGGTCGACTAAAACTACATGTATAGGCTGCTCAAGCCAGATCCACGTTGCGACCAAAAATTCAAAATCTGCCAGGCATTGCAACCTAGGAAAGTGAGGTTGAAAAAAAAGTTGGACATATTTGAAAAAAAGAAAGAAAAATGGATACTTCAACAAAAAAAGAACTATTCAGCAACACACGTTGTGGATGAAGCATCCCTAATCGTAAGTTAATGTTGTTACACTAATTTTGATAAAGGTTTAAGATAAAGGATCTTAAACATTTTATCAGAAAAAATAACTAAACACAAATGCAGTACATCTCACATTGGGAACTGTGTAAAACTGTCAATGTTGCATCAGAGAAACAGCAATGTGTTTATTTAACAAATAATTCACTGAAATATGTATGATTAGAAATGTGTAATGTGCACCATTACAAATGTATTAGTGACAAATGCAGCTCGCGGAAATTCAATTTGGAAGACGTCAGCCAAAGCCACCCCTTCCAGGCCGGCCTCGCATCCCCAGCCTATCGCACAGCAAACGCCCTCTTCCAATCAATCTGCACCGGCCAGGCCAGCCGCTTAAAAGCGGAGAAACTCCCACTTCACGGCCTTCTCGAAGCGTTGCAACCACCGCCTCCCCTCCTCCTCCTCTTCACCCTGCCTCCAATCTGCTTCCTGCTGCCAAATGCCGCCACCAGTGCCTAGGTCCCGGGGGATTGCGCGCGCAGGAGCCTCGCTGACTGAACGCCGCACCGGGGCCTTGGGCGCCAAACTACCTCTCAATAAAATACTTCAAAGGAATTCTTGTTTCCTCGTCTCTCCAGATTGAATAACAAATGTGTCGAAGCCTCTGAACTCAAGACTAGTTAAACACGGGCATCTAGTAGACAAGAATAATCATTGCTGCAGAATTAAATAATAACTTGCATTGTTTGTCTCAGGTGGAGAAACTCAACGCCCTAGGCTATAGGGCACTTCTACTTTTGGCAAAGCCACAAAAAAATGGGTGGAAGAATTCACTGATACACCCAATGTGGAGCCTGGGTGAACCAGCAACAAAATACCTGGACCGAATAAAATCCCTGTTTGGCGTTATAATTGACAGTAAGTTACTTTTTTTATGCCAACTTTAAAACTAATACATAAATTGTATTGAAATATACATAGAAGATATGCTTTGCACAAAAGTAGACTTCATCAGGGCTTTTTTGTTTCCTCTTTCAATTTTCATGTGACCCAAATTTTACATTAATAAAATAATTTATTTACAGATGTGTATTTATAGCAGAGTTTGATATAAAGAATGATAAAAAATGTTTTAACCTCAAATATTATTAACCGTGAGTGTAATCACAGTGAAAGACAGATGAAGGTCACATCCATTCTGCCTGTTCTTACTTACATTTTTCAGTTTTGCTTTTCTTCAGCCTTTTACTGCTACAGCATTGTAGTTTTGAGAATCTTGGTCTGCAAAACTTCCGTTTTGATAAATTTGGTATCCCTTTTCAACTCCAGACATTTAAGTAGCGGCAGTGATGGAGTACATATGCAAAAAAAAACATAGTATTTTTTTTGTGTTTGTCTAGATTGGAACAGCAGTCCACCCCCCTCTAGAGATACAGTCTATGTGTCCTCTCCGCCCTCCAGTGCGACAGTGTCCTCTCCGCCCTCCAGTGCGACAGTGTCCTCTCCGCCCTCCAGTGCGACAGTGTCCTCTCTGCCCTCCAGTGCGACAGTGTCCTCTCTGCCCTCCAGTGCGACAGTGTCCTCTCTGCCCTCCAGTGCGACAGTGTCCTCTCTGCCCTCCAGAGCTCGAGTGTCCTGCCCTCCAGAGCTCGAGTGTCCTCTCCGCCCTCCAGAGCTAGTGCGTCCTCTCCGCCCTCCAGAGCTCGAGCGTCCTCTCCGCCCTCCAGAGCTAGTGCGTCCTCTCCGCCCTCCAGAGCTAGTGTGTCCTCTCCGCCCTCCAGAGCTCGAGCGTCCTCTCCGCCCTCCAGAGCTCGAGCGTCCTCTCCGCCCTCCAGAGCTCGAGCGTCCTCTCCGCCCTCCAGAGCTCGAGCGTCCTCTCCGCCCTCCAGAGCTCGAGGTCCTCTCCGCCCTCCAGAGCTCGAGCGTCCTCTCCGCCCTCCAGAGCTCGAGCGTCCTCTCCGCCCTCCAGAGCTCGAGGTCCTCTCCGCCCTCCAGAGCTCGGGTCCTCTCCGCCCTCCAGAGCGTCCTCTCCGCCCTCCAGAGCTCGGCGTCCTCTCCGCCCTCCAGAGCTCGAGCGCCTCTCCGCTCTCCAGAGCTGGCGCCATCTCCGCCCTCCAGAGCTAGTGCGTCATCTCCACCCGAGTCCATGCCCCCCCCACCAGCCAGCAAAGACACCACAGGTAGTTTTTATGTCCCACTTTTAGTATGTATATTGCATTCATACAATGACTTGAAATGTTTATTAAAATTCTAACTGAACCATTATCCATTCCAGTTTTGAAAAGATCAAAGAGAGTCCCAAAAGCGACTGCTAAAAGTAAGTGTCATCACATTAATTGACAAATAATGATGTTTTATAAAATTGTATGCATCAATTGACATAAACAACCATTTCTCCTCAAGTGGATTGATATAGTAGTAATTGATAGTGTGCATATTATTTTTATCACCCATACTAGTCTACTAGTATATATATTTTTTTGATCCAATATAGAGGTGCAACGGTTCATCACTGATCCGTGATCCGTTCGGATCAACGTCTTCGGTTCGGTACAGACGTGATCCGCGGTTTGATTTATGAAAAAAAAGTTGTGCGCATGTTGTTCAGTCCACACACAGCATAATCATGGCGAGCAGAGGAACGGAGGAGCTTGAAAGCCCCGCGTCATTTAAATCCCTGGTATGAGAGCATTTTGGCTTCACTGTAACTCTACTGATAATAAAATAGTCGACAAAACTGTCACGGTGTGTAAATACTGTGGCACAACAAAGACATGAGTGAAAAAAAGACCGCTTATTTGAGCGGCATTTAAGCAGCTCTTAATGCTCAGTCAGACCGGGCTAAAGTTAACTCTCCCGCACATCGACAGTTGCGTTCACGACTGACGCTTGGACGTCCCGCGGAATCTATAATAGATCCATGAGCGGAACGAAGAACTATGTTACGATAACAGGCCTAGTACTAATATCCCAGTCACAACTGATAATGCCAAAAATTAAATGAATGCAGTAAATGAGGCTGGACTGGGCCCAGAATGGAGCGCCTCCTTGGGAGAATCAGGAAGGTGATAATATATGAGGGTAAATGACCTCAAAGTGCCTTTTTAAGTTGCACTTTGTGTTGTTTTTCATTAATTATGTTAAAAAGACATAATTGGATGGATGGAATATGCTCTCGATCCATCCATCCATCCATTTTCTTCCCCTTAATCCATTTCTAGGTCAGGGGGGTGGCAGTCAGAGCTGCACCCAGTACACAGAGCACCAGCCCCTCACTGATCCTCCTGCAGGTGACGAGTCCACGTGAGCTGTGTTTATTAAAAAGACAAAACTTTTTTTTTTTTTTTAAATGAACCGAACCGAGGTACGATCCGAACCGTGATTCTTTTCAAACCGTTGCACCCCTAATCCAATACAATTAATCCAATCCTCTCCAACAAGAAAGTATTTGGATTGTCTAATATAGACTACTCGATCTATTTGGTTATTTATTTTTACAGTGTATAGAACAGCAACCATTTAGCCGTGATCGACCTTGAAGTTATGTGGGAATCTTAGTTTGTGTGTAATATTAGGAAGATGACGGCCCCTACACACCGTAAGCACGGTGAGACGCCTCTCCTCAGCAAAGTAGACCTCCATAAACACTCCAGGAGGCGCACAGAGGTGCGGCGGCCAGACGCACCACAGTAAAAATAACCTATGCATATTATTTGGACCATGAGAAGAAACTTACATCTGACACAGACCATGTGGACACACACATGCATCTGACACAGACCATGTGGACACACGCATGCATCTGACACAGACCATGTGGACACACACACACATGCATCTGACACAGACCATGTGGACACACGCATGCATCTGACACAGACCATGTGGACACACACACATGCATCTGACACAGACCATGTGGACACACACATGCATCTGACACAGACCATGTGGACACACACATGCATCTGACACAGAGACCATGTGAACACACACATGCATCTGACACAGAGACCATGTGGACACACACATGCATCTGACACAGAGACCATGTGGACACACACATGCATCTGACACAGAGACCATGTGGACACACACATGCATCTGACACAGAGACCATGTGAACACACACATGCATCTGACACAGAGACCATGTGGACACACACATGCATCTGTCAGAAATCATGGGGACAAAGACGTATACACATCTATATATTGTATCCAATGTATTAATATGACTAATTGATTTGTGATTATACTGCATTATGCCATCCCTAATAAGAACCCTCCAATTTGTGTTTGTTTTTTTCACCCTGTAGATGCAGCCAAAAATATTTGTGAAGAGTGTAACAAGCAGCAGACAGCAGGAAGTTACCCTATGTCTAAGATAATAAAGAAGCGGGGGAAAAAAGTAGGTTGCATTAACTTTTCTTTAATTTTACATAACAAGCAGTATTTTTTATAAAGAATTATCTTTATCTTATCTTTATCTTTATCTTGTGTCCACATGAATGTTTGTTTATACTGATTTTGCTGGTGATCGCAAGTGCAATGTAGAGTCTTATACTGATAAATATATATTTTGTTTTTTTTTAGGTTCTTGTGGAATGGCTTCCATGTGGGACTTGGTAATTGATTTACTGTGGTTAAACAATAATATTTAGCTTTGAGACGTTTTTACCCTGAATGCTTCATATACCTTTTCTTTTTGTTTCAGTAAGCGTATATGGAAGCCCACTTGGGAGCCTCTTGAGAATTATGGACATTGATCATCTGCCCCCTTTAAGTTTTTTGAATCATTGCAATTCCTGTGTTTGAACGTTTTTTTTTTTTTTTTCCTCTGTTCTCTGTTGGCGAATTGACAGATGAGTAAAGTCCTCGAGATAACTGTTGTGATTTAGGACTATAGAAACCTACATTGAATTAAAATTAATGTTGTATATATGATCATCTACAGCAGGGGCGTCATGCTGGTCCTCAAAGGGCTGGTTGTGGCTGCAGTTCTAACCTTAGCTACATCAGACTCCATTGAATTAAATACCTTGAAGCTGCACATGTTTCAGAATCCTTTATTATGTTATGTGATTGATGTTACATATATTTTGATAATCTAAAAATGTGCCGTAGTTTGGTTTGGTTGAGTTGTGTGAAGCATTAAAAAGTTACCTTTGTAAAACATGTATTCATACCTACTGCGCCGTCTTGATAATGTACACTGCATCATATACAGTATAAAACCATTTTTGATCATAACCTTGGAGGTTCTGTAGACTTGCTGTTACCCTGACACTCCACTAGGTGGGGTCCTGCACAACATTTACAAAAAGGTATTTACGTAATTTTTCTCAAATAATACTTTACTTCCTCCATAACCGCTTTGGCCATAATATCGACTTAAACCTGTTTAAAGAATGTGGAAATATTCTTATCAGTTTAAAAACGGACATCAATTAATCTTGTAAGGTTTTTATTTTAATTATACAGACAGACACATGATCCCAACGTCATTTTCGTCGCAACGGACGTGTCGTCATGGCAACGCGGTGAACGCTGTGATCACTGAGCGATATTCAACAATAACTATTTTCAGGGACACAAAAAGATCCCTAATCCTAAGAATAATCACTGTTGTCGGTGATATTATGACAAATGTTGGTCATGTTTTCAAGTTTGTGACTTCCTGTTACTTACGTGGCAATAAAAATGATTCTGATTCTGATGTTTTAATTCCCACCCTCGCAGGAAATGGTGTAGTTACGTGACTCCCATAGAATATTATAAAACAAATCTGTAAGAGTACCACAGTTACAGTGCACTGTGGTATTCTTACAGCTTGGGGATGGACCAATGAGGAGCAACACGTCATGGTGTGGGTTTTATTTTTGTATTTTAGTTTTAGAACTGTAACAATAGCACATTTTCAGACGGAACGGATCTATCAAAATCGATGATTTACGTGATTTTCAATGTATACGATTGAAGGGAACCACGCACGAGCATTCTGTACAAGGGTAGTCCAATGGTCAAATTTCTTTCTTTAACATATCTTTATTACGAGGAATAGCCTCTTGAGATGCATCATCTCGTTTTCAGGAGGGTCCTCAAAAATAGCAACACAAGTAGCAGCAGCGGTTGTCAAATAAATGCAGTTACAGTAAAGTGTAACAAATAAAAAACATAACAAATTACAGTAAATAAATTCAATAAAATGACAGACAAAAAACTAACAAAAACAATACAAGGACAGAAACATTCGCTCACACACACACACAGAGCTCTCAGAGGTCAGAGGTCACCCTACTCCTCAAACTAGGACAGTGAAAACCAAAGGATATAATATTTAAAAGAAAGTTCAGTAGCAGTTACAAACATTACACAGATGCCTTTGTACAGCAACTTTAAAAAGAGAAAAAGAAGTTAAAGAGCGAATAGAGGCCGGAAGGTGATTCCAGTCGTTTGGGGCTTTATATTGGAAAGCATATTTGCCAAGTTCTTTCTTCACACGAGGAGTGTGAAAGAAAAGCTGGTTTGTGTGACGAAGATTATAAGAGGAATTAAAAGGGGTTAAATATTGCTTTAAATAAAGAGGGTAATCCAAAAAATAACATTTATAAATGAAAAACAACCAGTGAGAGTGACGTTTTTGGGACAGAGAGAGCCAGGACAGCTGCTGGTACATGTCACAGTGATGTGTCCTGTAGGGGCAGCGCAGAATGAACCTGCACAGGCTGTTGTAGGCAGTGCTCAGAGGATGGAGAGAAGTGGAGGTGGTATTTTGGTAAACTATGTCTGCATAGTCTAATATGGGAAGTAGTAGTTGTGAAATAATCCTTTTCCGTGCAGATAAATTAAAACAGTCAATGGATTGATAAAGTGTTACTGTTTTCAGTGAATAGTTAATTTTGTGTACAGTTTTGTGAATATGGGTATTGAAAGAAAGATTTGAGTCTAGCCAAAGACCAAGATACTTAAGGTTGTCCACACATTTGACTGGGGACAGATCTAGAAAGTGGAGATTTAAATCAGGGAGAGGTTTATTGGTCTTCTTGAAAAGCATGGAGTAGGATTTGGTTTTGTTGAGCAGAAGTTTGTTAGAAAGGAGCCA